TAAAAAGTTAGCAAGTAGGATCTTTAAATGTCTTAGTCCACTGCATTCTCATCTTTTATTTTATTTTAAAATAAAAAGAAAAACTATCATATTGGCTCCGAGACTCTGACTATTCTTTGTTAGCTTCTAAAGGCATGCATGTTTATTGTTAAAGGATTAAAATGTTGGATATTGATTTAAAAGTGAAACTTGGCCAGGTGAGGTGGCTCACAACTAGAATCCTCTCACTCTGGGAGACTAAGGCAGGAAGACCAGCCTTAGCAAAAATAGAAAAATAGAAAAATTAGCCAGGTGTGGGGATAGGTGCTTGTAATCCCAGCTACTTGGAAGGCTGAGGCAAGATTATCCCTGGAGCCCAGGAGTCTGAGGTTGCTGTGAGCTAGGGTGACACCACAGCACTCTAGCCTGGGCAAGAGAGTGAAAATCTGCCTAAAAGAAAAATAAAAAGAGAGAGAGAGAAAGAAAAAAAGGCAAAGAAACTTAAACACTTGTGTAATTCTGAGTTTCCATAGAACACAGTTTGAAAACCACTATATTGAATTTCTTTTTTCATCTTTGAGTAATTATCTTTTAGCTTATTTAAAATTTGTATTGAGTTCTAGATTTTTATTTTTATTTTACTGGAAACCCCCTCATCTTCCAATATCTTTTAGCTTATTCATCTTACCTTTCAGGAAATGACAGCAGTGTTATGCTATAGGGATAGACCAAGGCTTAAATGTCTTCGGGTCATCTCTTGGGATCTAAGGAAGAAAGCATGTTAAATTAATACACCATAATATCATCATAATATTTCACCAGGAAAATTACATAAAATCTTTCTTTTTTTTTTTTTTTTTTTAGTTTTTGGCCGGGGCTGGGTTTGGACCCGCCACTTCTGGCATATGGGGCTGGTGCCCTACTCCTTTTAGCCAGAGGTGCAGACCTTACATAAAATGTTTTTTTAGAAAATCTGATGGGAGGAGCCTAGATTTTCCTGGTTCCTGGGAAATGAGATTGTCTCATTCCTGTCAAATGACAACTCTGAAAAGACAGTGGGTTGGTGTTGTGATTTCTGCTCCCCCTAATGTTGCTAAATTAGAGGGCCTATCTTTGCTTCCCAAAGAGAAATACATATCCCATATGAATACATCTGGGGAGGGAAATGGAAAGTGGGCCGTGGCTAGGCTGGAGGTATTTACACGGTAGAACATAGACCTGGATTCCTCACTGATGTGGTGACAGCCCCGTCTGCACTTTTAGCCAGATAATTTTTGTAGTATTGTGCTTTTCTTGCTAAACTGTGGCCTCATTTTATGCTCCTGGGCTACAAGTTCTGAAAAGGTGACTTGTTTATCCTTCCATGTGGTTCTGAACGCCTGTCTCTTCTGCGGGGAATTCTCTCCCTTAGGTTCGACCCCAGAGCAGAACACACATTTACTCTCTTTCCCTGTTATGTTTTTGTTTGATGGGTTGACTTTTAGTTACAAAGGTGGCGAAAACAAAACAAATTTCCCTAATGCTGGAACTTTATGAAGAGTCCCAAAACCACTTTTTTTTTTTTTTTGAGACAGAGTCTTACTCAAGAGTCCCCTGGCATCAGCCTAGCTTACAGCAACCTCAAAACTTCTGGGTTCAAGTGATCCTCCTGCCTCTGCCTCCTGAGGAGCTGGGACTATACTGGCCTGCCACAACACTCAGCTAATTTTTTCTATTTTTTCTCTCTTTAAGTAGAGACAGGGTCTCACTTTTCTCAGGCTGGTCTTGAACTCCTGAGCTCAAGAACTCCTCCTTCCTCGGCCTCCCAGAGTGTTAGAATTATAGGCAGGAGCCACTGTGCCTGGCTGCAAATAGCTTTTTCTCTCTTGTATTTCTTTATTTCATAAAAATGCAAAAAGACAAAAAAATTCAACCAAATTCTATCACTCAGTGTATCTTCCTTAGTTCTTTTCTTACCTTTTGCTCTCTTCATCCATATTAAAATGGAAATGAAGGGCTGGGTTTGCCCTTTCCAAAGGGAGGGTCTTCCCTAGTCCCTTCCCTGCTCCTATGGGAGTTGCTTGGCCTTTTTCTTTAGAACTAGCCTGTTTAGAACTAGGCCAGGCGTAGGAGGAGCCCTTGAGCCCAGGAGTTCAAGGCTGCAGTGAGCTATGATGATTAAGGTGACCAGATTTTAACATTGGCAAAGCAGGACACCATTGATGGGGGTGGAGGGGAGGGGGTCGGGTGGGGGCAGGACCTGACAACAATGCAAACTTTGATAAGCAGGTCTCCATAATCACTTCTCAACAATTATTTGTTATTGTTACAGTTTAACATTATAAAATTAACAAAAATAATCTAAAACTCATATCCTGGCAAAATAGCCACATGGCAGCTGAAAACTGTATATTTCCTTACTGTTCTCCTGCCCATTCGTGCATTCTTTCCAAAAATCAGGACTTTTTTTAAAAACACTGCAGGATGTGGGACAAATTATTAAAAATCAGGACTGTCCCATCAAAAGCAGGACGTCTGGTCACCCTAATGATGATGTCACTGCACTCCAGCCTGGGTGACAGAGCAAAACCCTGTCTCTCTCTCTCTCTTTTTTCAAAACCCTGTCTCTTAAAAAAATAAAGAACTAACCTGTTCTACCTGGGCTGGGCTGGACAAAGTTCCTCAGTTTAGACTGAGGTAGATTCTAAAACTTAAACTTCTTTTTTTTTTTTTTGAGACAGGAGCCTCCAGCTGTCCCCCTTGGTAGAGTGCTGTGGCATCTCAGCTCACAGCAACCTCCAACTTCCTGAGCTCAAGCGAGTCTCCTGCCTCAGCCTCCCAAGTAGCTGGGACCACAGGTGCCCGCCACAACGCCTGGCTATTTTTTTTTGGTTGCAGCCATCGTTGTTTGGCGGGCCCGGGCTGGATTCGAACCCACCACATTGGGTGTATGTGGCTGGTGCCTTAGCCACTTGAGCCACAGGCACCGAGCCTAAAACTTACTTCTTGTTCTTCTCACCAGAGCTGGTCTCCTGGGGTTTCCTTCTGTTTGGGGGCTTAGAGTGACGCTTATTCTCTTGCCGCACTGGCCTTCTGGGGTCTTACCTACTCCCTAGCCCCCTTTTTGTATTCTCAAAAATCCAAGCCCTGGGACATAAGCTGGTCTTCAGGGACCTTTGCTTATCTCCTTCCCTGCTTTCTTTTCCTTCTCCCTTGCTTGGTTCCATTTCCCCTTTTTCTTCCCGCTTGTTCTGTGATAGCTCTGATTAAAGAAATGCATTCACTGTGGATGTCAAGACTGAGTCCACTTTTAGTTCAAGTTCAGATTCTGAAATGACACCTGGCCTCAGTCTCTTTGGGAGTTGCTTTCAGTCCAGCATTCTTCATCCCCATTGGACAGTATAGGATTCACTCAGTGGGCCTGGGTTGTCCAATCCTGCGCATTTCTGGCCCTCAGCCTTTGTGTCCTGCCTGAGAGAGTGTCTTTGTTACGTGGGGCTTTGGGCCTTGGTAACAAACAATTTGACCCCTGGGGCTAGTGACGGTCACACCAGCCATGTGGGAGGTCCATGCCTGTAGAACTGACCCCTGGACACCAAGGCTCAGGGGAGCTGCTCTGTGTGGCTGTATGTCAGGCATCCCCTCACACTGTTGGGAGAGTCAGGCGCTGTCTGTGTGACTGTACGGGCGGAGCACAGATGCCGACGCCTGGTCCCTCCCGGCCTTGCCCTGTGAGCCTTTCGCCTTTCGCGATGATAATTGGTATCCCTTCACTGTACTCAACCACGACTGTGCATTTAACAGCTTTCCTGAATTCTGTGAACTCTTCTGGTGAATCATTGAACCCAAAGGTGGTCTTGGGATGCTGTTTCAATCATCTTCATTATAATCATCATTGCCTGTGTTGACTGTTTACTATGAGGACAATTGCAAACTGCTTTATATGTTATCTATTATTCAATCTTCACAACAACTGTAAAGTAACTGGAGTTATTCTCTCCACTTGTCACTCCTACCACATTTACAGATAAAGAAACCAAGTGATAAGTTAAATAAATCACCAAAGGTAGAGCTGTGATTCAAAGCCAGTTTCCTGTAACTCCAGACCCCAGGTCTTAACACTAAGCTAAAATGGCTCGTTGTACCGTCTCCCCGGCTGGGGAAGGTGGCGGTCTCTGTCCTGTCTTACATTCTGCATTGCTTGTCTGTGGAAGGCCTCCAGCTTAGTTCACCTCTCTCTTGAACACTCTATCTCTCCCTTTCTTTTGCTTCTCCCAACCTTAGGAGTAAGAGACCAGGTAGCAGAGATTTTAGATATAAAAGGATACATTCAATAACAGTGAATACATGCAATGTCATAGAATCTCCCTGCAGAAGTAGAAATGCTACTGTGTGAAGTGTCACCAAGCGTTGCGGGAAACAGATTTAGTCCCTGCATCCTGGGACAATCATATTCAATGTGGAACCAGTTTCACAGCCTGTTAGAATGCAAATATAACCTTGTCCAAGACTGCATGAGGGGGCAGAGAGAAGAATGTGGTGAAGAATCTGTCTGTGTGTGTACATATACACGTGTGCGTATACTGTATGCACATGTGTCTCGTGGGAACAGGACAATAGGTTCAACACGCTGCCCAGGATCCCATGGGAGACCACTTACTCTGAGCAGTCTGGCCTGAGTCACATATCTCTTCTGTGTTCATCTCAGCGTCCATGTGACTGAGGCATGTCTGTGCTAGCCTGAGGCTCTGCCAGTTATCTGTGGCTTAGATTTTAGCCAAGCAGGTTGGAGGCTGCTTGTTTCTACGCGTTGTGTCATGTGAACCCTAGGAAATAGAATGTGGTCTCATAGGACTGACAGTACATCTCCTCCAGCTCAGAGAAATCCAAGGCTGTGTATTAACGGGGTTAAGCAGGCTTCATCTGGAGGAACTTGTGCTCGGGGATGAACCAGCAGAGAGCAGTGTCAGAAAACCAGCCTGCCTGCAGCACATGAAACGTTCCCATGCCTTTCCTCCTTCATCTGGAAGGATGGGCCCCCTTTACTGAACTAAACAGGTGGCACTTTGAATGCTGGCAACTCTCACCGAGCCTGGATTCTAGAAATGCAAAAGAAGCAGGGAGGGAAAATGAGACATGGAGACGTGAGAGAGGCAGTGCTGTAGAGGGAGGAGAGTTGGATGGAGAATGCATTAGAGTTTGGGGGCAAATGAAGGCCTTTAGAAACTAGCCATTGTTGGCTGGCTGCGGTGGCTCACACCTGTAATCCTAGCTGCCGTTTGAGAGGCCAAGGCGAGAGAATCACTTGACACCAGCAGTTCGAGACCAGCCTAAGCAACATGGCTAGACCCCAGCCTCTACAGAAAAATAGGAAAAGCTGGCCGTGTGGGGTGGTTCATGTGTGTAGTCCCAGCTTCTCAGGAGGTTGAGGCAGGAGGATCACTTGAGCTCAGGAGTTACAGTGAACTGGGATGATGTCATTACACTCTCTAGCTTAGGGAATAGTGTAAGAAACTAGCCATCACCAATCTTATAGAATAGCAGGCACAACTGTTTGGAATTGACTACTGATCTAAGATGAAAAGGACTTTTCCCCCTTAAATAAGTTCCTATAAAATCAAGCCACAGCCCAACACCCGACATTAGCCGTTTGTTGTGGTTGCGAGGATTCCTTGTGAGTCAGCATATCAAGGCTGCCCCTTCAAATTGTGGGGTGAACTGAAACCTGTTTACAAACCTGTTTCTCAGCTGAGTTGTCTGCTTTTACTTCTAGGAGATGGAAACTGAATCTGCTAATTGATTTTACATGGCCTCCCATTATGGCAGCCCGCATATACCATGTTTTTGTGGTTACTCAGTAAACACATTTTGCTGCTGCTGATAACAAGGCAACACAATTGAAAATAAAATATTTTCCCATTGCCAAATTTTCCAAGGCAATATTTTTTTAATTTTTTAAAGGTGTGGATCCCTTCATGTCTCTGAATTCTAAAGATACTTTTTAAAAATAAAATCACTGTTTCCAAGGGGAAGTCCTAGTTTGAAAGTGTTAATTATGTATTTCTATAAATCTTTAAGGAAAATTTACCTTTTTTTTTCTTGTGGAATTTTAAATGACTGTACAAACACATTTTCCAAGAAACACAGTTTTTCTCTCTCTCCCATCACCAACAAGGAAATTACATAGAAATGACATTTCTGGCCATGTTTGGCTGAGCCAGGCTGCCCTGCTCAGAAACCATCACCAGGACCCTGTCCTCACCAGAAATTTACCATCTGAGAAAGGGCCCATGTATTAAAACAGCAGTCAGCAACTCTGTGACCAAGTTAATCAAACCCAAACACACAAAATACCTCTTTTGATAGAGTAAATGCTCATTCAAATAGTAGAATTTTTTTGGTAACAAAAATGCCCTAAGTTTCTTACCAAGGCCTGCTTTTTGTTGAAGTCAGTTTGCCCATGAAAATGAGCCTGCTAGTTATAAGGGTGGTTGTTTGTTCTGCCCTCAGCAGGTCAACTTGATTTAATGTGGAAACACTTTTCAAGCCCTTTGGGAGAGACATATTTTGAAGAAGGCCATTAAGAGTTATAGGGTTTTGGTGATGACCTTAGCTCTAATATTTACAGAGTGACTCATATTTGCACAGTATTTTTGCATGCATTATTTTATTTAATTCCAAGGGAAAAGTACTGAGTGTTTCGCCATCATTTCTGTTTAAGAAATAGATCTAGGTGGGTTGTTATTTACTTTATGGCTGTAAGGAGGTTACTAAAAGAAGAGCTTTTAAACTTTTCAATATTCGTGTTTTAGTACTCAGACCTTCTGACCTCCTGAACTTTTTACTTGTCAGAACAAATTGTGTTTTGACAACAATATTTAAAGGCCAACTACAAAGAGTGTTAGTTCATCTTGTTTCTCAAATACAGGGTGTCCATAAAGTTTGTGTTCACACATGAAGTTTATGGACACCCTCTGTGTGTGCGCGTATGTCTGTATATATACACATACATACACAGAGATATTTTGCTTAGTACAGCGTCATATATGAGTGTGAATCATCATATATTTCAACAAAAACCTGTGTTGTAGTTTGATTAAATGTATTTAAAGATGTAAATTCTGATAGGAGCTCAGATTTGTTCCAAGATGCTTTAATGAAATTGGTCTGTGTGAACAGCCAGGCTGTACGAACTTCAGGAGGCCTGCTGTGGTTCCTAAGAGGATGAACGAATTGTACTTTCTAAAGAACTGAACAGGTAGGTCTGGTGCAGGACAGAGGCTAGTAGCCAGGAATGCTGCTGATCGGGAGAGGGACTGTCCAGGTTTCACCCTGCTGAGGTGAAGATAAATGGTTTCTTTTGTCTCTCTACCAGGGAGAACAATAGTTGTGAATTTTCTTCTACTCCAGAGGCAAGTCAGACACTGAAGAAGAAGGCCACTTCTGTGGGTGACTTAGTCCCTTTTGAGTCTACTGAAACTGCCATAGGGCCTTCACATTTGCCACTCCCTGCCCTGAAGGCACCATCACCACCCCTAGCTCAATCCCTTGTTTCCTTTAGGCCTTGGCTTGAAAGTGAACATCTACAGAGAGCACTTCTCTAACAAACTACCTAAAACAGTCTAAAATAATCTCTCCATCACATTCTAGCCCCCTACTCTTGTATTTTGCTTCGTGACTTTCATCACTGCCTGTAACGATTTTGTGTGTTTACTTGTTTACTGTCTGGCTTCCCCAGCAGAATGTCAGCTCCATGAGGCAGAGCGTGTCTTGTGCATTACTGTTTCTCTAGTGCCCGAGTAGGGCCTGGCAGGTGGAAGGTGCTCCCCAAATATGTTAGCTGAATGAACAGCTACGTGATGAGCAACTAAAAAGCTGAGACCCCCACCTGACATCTCTGACTAGCTGGGACCCCCACCTATCTGACATCTCTGACTTTAAGAAAAGTTTAGGCTCGGCGCCTGTGGCTCAAGTGGCTAGGGCGCCAGCCACATACACCTAAGGTGGTGGGTTCGAATCCCTAGCCCGGGCCCGCCAAACAACAATGATGGCTGCAACCAAAAAATGGCCAGGCGCTGTGGCGGGCGCCTGTAGTCCCAGCTACTTGGGAGGCTGAGGCAGGAGACTCGCTTGAGCCCAGGAGTTGGAGGTTGCTGTGAGCGTGATGTCTTGGCACTCTACCTAGGGGGATAGCTTGAGGCTCTGTCTCAAAAAAAAAAAAAAAAAAGAAAGAAAGAAAAGTTTAAGGCTAAATTAGAAAACTTGTTCTGTTGACTTGCTGGGGTAACCCAGGGTCAGCCCAGCACTCACAAGTCATAGTCATTGTTTGTCTTTCTCCCATGCTAGACTGTAAATGCCTTGAGAGAAGGGACCTCCGAGTCTGACACCACTGTGCTCCCTGTGCCTCAGACTATGCAGAAAGGAAGGCATCTGATGAACTTGTTGGATCTGATTGAAATGTGAAAGATGAGCAGGGGTAACCAGCTGGGGAAGGGAAGATGGTTCTAAGGAGAGGGATGAGCATGGTCGAAGCCTTGTAGCAGGAGTGAGCAGGTCTGTCCTTGATACCAGGAATGAGAAATGACAGAAGAAGGCAAGTGTCACTGACTGGGATACCACGTGTGGCTGTAGAGGTGGGTCGGGCCCATCATGGTGGATTCTGAAGGTGTGTAGGCTTGGTCGGGCAAGTTAAGAAATTTTATCTATCTTAAGAGCAAAGGGGAGCTTTTTGCTTTGGTGTGTGCTGCAGTGACATGGTCAGCTTTGTCATATGACAAGTCATGAACCTGCTTCCACCCAGGCTGAGAGATGGCAGTTGCCCTTGGCAGGTCCCTAGGAAGTTAACTCCACCATGGCAGGGGTCTCTGCTTCTTTCTCCGCTGTGTTCTGACTACTGTTCTATAGAACAACGTCAAGTACACATTAGACACTCAACCTATGCTTGTTGAGTGCATGAATATAGCACAGTGGTTAAGAAAGGAGGAAATGAAGTGGCCAAGACATTGTTAGGAGGACAGTAAGGAACAGGTGAAGGGCTGCCTAGGCTGACTACTGAGTACAAGGTAGAAAAATGCCAGGATGGCGCCTACGTTTCTTGTTTATGTTTCTATGTGGGCGGGGGAGTATTGCCATTTTCCACAACAGGTATAGCAGAAGAATCTAGACTTCGTGTGTTTCTTGGCCTCTTTATTAAACCAAGAGTCAAAGCTTCCTCCTCTCTGTTGTTCTTGGGAGACCTCATTCAAGGGTAGCCTCTGGTTGTCCTCTCTCTTTGGGGGAACAGCTGAGGAAAGGGATCTGGAGGCCAGAACAAAGTAGTATGTGCATCCCTGAAGTCTTGTTGAGGATGTGAAGAGGCTGCATTCTCACTATTTCTTTTCTTTTCTTTTCTTTTTCTTTTTTTTTTTTTTGAGACAGAGCCTCAAGTTGTCCCCCTGGGTAGAGTGCTGTGGCATCACAGCTCACAGCAACCTCCAACTCCTGCGCTCAAGTGATTCTCCTGCCTCAGCCTCCCAAGTAGCCGGGACCACAGGTGCCCACCACAACGCCCGGCCATTTTTTGGTTGTAGCCATCATTGTTGTTTGGCGGGTCCGGGCTGGATTCAAACCCGCCACCTTAGGTGTATGTGGCTGGCACCTTAGTCACTTGAGCCACAGGTGCCGAGCCATTCTCACTATTTCAATGTAAAGTCAGTGAAACAGTTAGGGATAGTGTGAGTCAAGGACAAAGGGTAAATGGTCCCTCTCCATGTGGTCTAAAATGGCCGTAATAACAAGGGGCCTATTATTGGGAAATTAAACATTCTGCCCTGTCCCCACCCCTCAAACTTATTCCAGGGGCCATACATGAACATTGCCAGTGTGTAGGATAAATGAGTTTGACCATCTATTTTCTTTTTAGATTTAAGCAACTATATTTTGAGTGATGTTTCATGGGAAAAGTATCTTCCCAGCCCAGATTTCCCGAGAATGAAGGCCCAACAGAGTCACTCTCAATTATACTATTCAAATCTTTTCAAACATTTACGTCAGCAATATCCCTGTTTTATAAAACAAGTATACAAATAAGATATATTACGGCAGCATTCCACATGCCACACCCTCAATCAGATATATTATGGTGGCATTCCAGATGTCACACAGACACAGGGTCCCCCATGTGGCATCACACGCCCTTGCCTCACCCAGCCCCTGTCTGGAAGCAGGACGGGGCCACCCTTCTTGACTTTGGCCAGAGCTGCTCTACAGGGTGCTGCTGGCTGAAGGGGAGGACAGAGACCCATTTGGTGCACTGTCTCATACATTGTAGCACATTTGGCAGCCCTGGACCCTGTATGAGAAAAATCCATAGCCCCCAGCAGTGAACTTGTCAAACTAGAGCATCGCTCCCCACTGACCACCACCTCCAAAGACCACTGGCTTACATTAATTGAGACAAAAAAGGATATACATATAAACAAATGTGAATTAAAAGGATGGTTGAAAGTGTGTGTACTTTTAATTATAAAAATGGTTATAGTTAGTCCTAGTTGGTAGGCTTATGGCTGATTTTAACTTTCATTTTATTATTTTCAGTATTTTCTAATTTTTCTGTAATGGACATGTATTAATTTTATGAGGAAAAAATGCCAGACATGTTATTAAAATGACCTTTAAAATGTCAAATAGAGATTATAACATGAAGTGATATTTAGAAACTATGTCTCCATTTATGAGTATTTTAGAAAGTGGGAGGTTATTCTCCCATTGGCTCTGAGCATTTGATTGATGGTGTACAAACTAGTAGATGATTCATATCCATGAAGACATATTAAGTTAGTCTTTTCCAGTAACCATCAGACCATCAGACTTGGGACAAAATATGGTTTCATCACATGCACCAGGTCACAAAGGGGCTGAGTCCCAAATGGCAAATGAAATCAGTGTGAGTCAGTTCTTACCATTGCAAGTGGCAGAGATATTTTGCCAGACAACTGGACTATTAAAAACAGCCCGAAATCTTGAAAATGAGGTATTCTTTTCTAGGAGCCAGGCCACGGGAAAACTGAAAACATTAGCCCCAGGCAAGACAGAAAGATTAGAAGAATCTTTTCACTGTGTTGTGTTTTCTAGTTTCCCTGATCTTCCCCGTTCCAGAAAAGGATATTAATTGTTGTAAAATGTGAGTGTGAACATTATTTTAAAGGTCAGAAGTGCTTATGCTTTTGCTTCTGGGGTATGAAATGACATGATTCCACAATGACTGTGACATCAACATGGTTGAGAGGGGTGGACAATGTCCCTCTGGGACACAATGAGCACAGGGCATCAGAACCAATGACTATGAGACATTACAGGGTATTGGTATTACTGGAGTACAAGAAACATTGCTGAGTTAGATTTGGAGATAGAAAGAGGAGTGGATCATGTAGGGAAGGACATGAATAATTATAATACTCCCTTTTAATCAACATTCCTATATTATTTTTTTACTATATGGCAGGTTATTTTGAAGAGGTCAGGTCAATATTTGGGCTTCTTCTAATAAAAATTTGAACACATAAATTTCCTTTTGTAGAGAATCAATTCTTCTCTCTCTGGGAGGCAGTATACTATAGCAAAGTCAGATGTTGAATCTTCACCCCCCACTTGCTAGCTGTGTGATCTGGGGTAAGTTATTACACCTCAGTTTCCTCAACAGTAAAGTGAGGAAACTAGTTGTAGTGGCCCGATAAAGCCGCAGTAATGATTAACAAGATAATACATATAAAATATTAAGTACAGCGCCCAGTCAATGTTACCTGCTATTATTATTTAAATTAGGACGCTTTTAAGAAATTGGCAAAGGCTGGACTCAATGACCTCTGGAAGGTTGTTTATCTGTGGCATTGCCACGTGTGTACCCAAGTACACCGGTCCTCTCTCTCTTGGGCTGGGAGGCATAAGCATGAAAGGGAACCAAGTGGAAAGACAGCCAGCTGTCACTGGGATCACATTATTTCTACAACATGGGCAGTTTGTGTGTGTTCTTTGTATCCGGAACATGGAAAGTGCCATCAAGTGTGGCTACATGTCTCCCCTTTTAACTAGGTGAGAGTAAGCTTGTAGGGGAAATGCTTTTTAAAAAGGTGAAATTATTACCTATATACAAGGTATATTTCTGTGATTTGTTTTTAGTATTTTATAATTTGATTAGCCAGACACAGGTTAGGTTATAAATTTGCCCAGATCTAGGAAGCAAGAAATAGAAAAATCACCTTTTAGGAAAATAAACAGAAATTCCTTACCATTTCTGTGAACTGATCTGCACAAGCCATTCGAACCCACTCTGGTGTCGCCGGGCTCTGCACCGTGAAGTCCTCTGCTATGTCTCTTTCCCTGCGTACTGAGGCCACAGCATCAGCGATGGCAAAGAACACAGATGATCCCAGGAACATCCCAGACTCCCCGAGGCCCTGCAAAAAAGAACGTTAGTTTTAGAAGCTTCTCTACTAGACTACAAGCTACTAGAGGCCAGGGACCTGATCTTGTTCACTGTTGTATCCACAACTCCTGACACAGTGTCTTGCACACAAAAGGTTCTCACTAAATGTTTGTTGACTGACTGACTGAATGACGCTTGACTTATCTTAAAAAAAAAAAA